TTAATCATCATTTTTCATTACTTGAATATCCTTTAGCACTCAAATTCTAGCCAGAATAAATTACTTTCTGCGTACCTATTTTAATAAAAATTAATGCCATTTGCCTCCCTATATTAGGTAAAATAAATCCATGTACGTGTACATACGGGATCTGGTAGGAAAAATAAGTGGTTGCAAAACGTTTCTTTCCACTCGGACAGACAAGAAATTTGTTGCTCAGACAAACTTCTGGAATTTCTTACCGTACGGAGGTGAGAGGTTTCTCTAGAAACTGAGAGTGGCAATCTAAATAATGCAGATTTTATCAGTATCCTTTCGATATTTGTGCGATAGCCTTTAACAAATTATAACTAATTCCCATACCTGCAAGCTTCTACGGGGCAGTTGTGCGGCCTACTCGCGGATGCGAGTGTGGAGTAAACAGAAACGGAACCAATTATTTTTAAATGAAACCAATGTTTTTATAACTGGAATAAAAAATCCTTTAGTTTGTATAATTTGTATGATGTAATTGTATTTTAATTCCATTTTGTTTTTTCTCTCTTTCCAAAGTGATAAAGAAAAGGAAATAGTTTTGCAATTTTTTGGAGACACATATTATTGTGCACACCTTTTGGTTTAATTGCTACTTAATTCCTATTCAGAAATTCCGTTCTGACACATTAACCCAACAAGAATGCCGTCTTGTCCATGTTGGCGGCGGGGGAAGTTGTGCAATGTTATCTCAATGACTGTAAGTAGTTATACTATTACTGGAATTCGGCAGCTCCAGAATCTACAGCAAATACTATGCCAATAAACCACAGTTGCGTAACAGATAGGTGAAGAGGTACAAATATGGAATATCATTTTTTTTGTTGCCTGCTACTACTTAAAGAAAGAAATGATAGTGAAATGTTGCACAATGAGAAGGTACACAAATATTGTAATCACTGATGAGAAGCCAAGGGCATAATACAACACGATGTGCTTTAAAAACATTCTTTTTAACGAAAGTACACTCTCTCTTAATTTAAAAAAATGGGTGCAAATATGGAATACCACCGTCAATAAATGCTAAATACTAGTAATTAATCGAAATTATAAACTGTCCATGTTCTCTTTGCTTGAAACCTGAGTACAATGTAGCAAATGACATAATTCTGTAAAACAGTTATTTTCATTTATAATAATCACAAAAGTCACAAACGGCGCAATCTGCGCGTGACCACATCTCGCACATTTTACACATAATCAATTGTTCCATTCCAATGTATTGCATATTTGTGACACCTCCATTTTGGCACTCGGGACTTCAAAACAGGCAGAACGCATGTGGAAACCTGACAATAAATACATGACTGCTAACCCCAATTCTCAAGCTCCAAACTAAAGTATATTCCACATTCATAAAGATAGTAATTTGTATGTTACACAATAGATTGCGCTTAACGACAATGTTTTATACACCTAACAAAACATAAAATTTCTACCTTGTATATCACAGTTGGACTGACGAAATGGATGACGGTGCACGGTTTCAAGTGCTATCCCCCAAAAGAGCAGCACCAGTGAAACCAGATCGTGCGGTATTCCACATTTGTGCCCCTATTCCAAGTTTATACGTACTTCTTCCTCTACTAATAATTTTTGAATTTATTAAAAAAAATCAAATTTTGTAACTCTCGAATAAAATTATTGACCTAAAAGTATTGACTTTAATTCAAGGAAATATTTGAAAATATAATTCCTGACACAGTAATGATATAGATCCCTTTAGTTCTGTGAATGTTGGTGACCGAATTTATTGATGGCAGTAGATATTTCGGTGTTTAATTTTTTACTGAACTACAAGTTTTCCCTAGATTGCAGAAGTTTGTTAATTTTGCACTTGCATGTCAAAACAACTCCCAAATTTTCAGAATGGTGTTTATTCAATGTCATTACCATACTTTTATGGCGAGTTTATTTGGAGACCTTACTGTCTTCGAATACCTTTCCATTCATATTGATATCACATATTGAAACAATATCAACATTAATTTAGCTGTAAACGTGTCGTTCTCGCCACAGAAGATTGCTGTTGTTCCTCTCGCATAACGAAATAAATAATTATATTTAGTGTCGTCAGAGCATTCACAAACTCATCCAACCCAATCTAACGGAATAGGTAGGTACTTTCTTCGTCACGACATAGGTAGGAACCAATAAAAAAAACTAAGTTGTGTTGTTGCAAAATTGAAGTTGGTTTTCCCGAGAAAATGTTTAGAATTCCAACGGATTACAAATTTAAACAGTAATAAAATGTTCTCACGATATAATGGTAATAAGATTAAATAGTGGTGTTTCAAAAGCACGAACATTCGTGTATTATAACTACTTAGTTCTACGAAAACGAAACCTGCGCCTTTTTGAAGCTCTCTTTCCGAGAAAAAATAAAGGGAAATTTTTAGCTGTTGTTGAGGAAAAATTTAACTTGCGATATCTTTAACCAAAATTTACGCGTAAACTACTCGTTTTTTACTTTATCGCCTTAAAGAAGAGAGATTGTTGTAATCGTTCCTATATTACTTCCTCTAATACGTTATGTAGTCAGAGTCCATGTTTTGTGGACCAATAATACTAAGAAAATCGATTGACGGCGAAAAGTCTGTTTGCCCGTTCGTGCGTGCATGCGTCCGTCCGTCTGTGGTTCAAGCTAGAGCCTAAACCGTTCAGACCATTTTCTTCAAAATTGAAATTCTCCAATCAATCTAAACAAACTCCAGGCCCTGCGAGTTTCGAACGGATATTTTGATTTTTCGGGGTACTTTACGAGAAGCGTGAACATTTCGAAGATTGAAGAAATATTACATGAACCTGCAAAAGTGTTTTCAAACAGCAAAATCTTATTCCTTGCGCCAAGATGGGAAAACAGGTCCTGTGAGTCAACAGGCCAAACACATTACCGCTATACCAAGCAGTCTCTCGGGGATATTTGCATTTCCCAGCGCTTAAAAAGAAAAGGAATTTATTTGTAACTTATAAAATTTTCGAAAATTAAGAGACTTACGCTATTATTTTAAGCGCCCTTTGCTCTATACCTGAAACAAATTTAAAGAAATAATTTGGAGTTACTTTTGAAACTTTGTTTATAAATTGCATTAAAATTACGTAAAAACTACTTCTTTTCAAAAAAATTGTACACGACTTTTTAAAGATCTTATTTCTTAAAACAGATTTTAATTAAGACAAGATTCTCCATCTTCAATATTGTACATTTGCAGTGATAACATTTTCGAAAATAGAGTTAGACGAAAGTGAGAGCAGCACAACAGTGTTACTGTCCTTCGAGAGAGGAACGTGGAGAAAATTTAAAGAAAAAAATTGCTTTTTTTAGAAAGAAATTTTGTATAAATTGCCTACGCAAAATTAGGCATATATGTGAAATATCGTACATAATCTTATTTAAACATATCGTTGAAGAACAGATTTTATTAAGGAAAAAATATTTATCTACAATATTGTAGTTGTAAGAAACTGCGTTAACATTAAATTTTTGTAATTCACAGACATCAACGAAAATTTCAGCCTCAACAATTTTTAAGCGTCTAAGATCAAAGAATTTTAACCGTGTTTTAAGAAAATTTTGCAAATATTGTTAAGGCTTCATGTAAAGCACAGATCAGTATCAAAATATCTGTTTCAATTTAGCAGGGCTTTGAGTTCGTTTAAATCTAACGGGGAATCTTAATTTTAAAATACATTCCCCTATACGATTTAGCCGCTGCGGTTGACAACACACGGGCGGGCTGGCGGACATACTTTTTGCTGACACTAATTTTTCGGTATCAATGCCTCACAAAACATGAATCCTGACTATGCAAGGTGTTAGAGGAAGTAATTCACTACATATAGAAACACAATATATGCACGTTTCCGTTGTAAGACCCCCATACTACGAATTTTTCTGTCGAAAAATCGCCATTTTGGCCGAAGCTTTACTATACTTTCCCTTGACTCAGCACGTAGTACGTCAAAAATGGGATGGCATTCTAATTTAGCGATAAGGAACACCGAAGGCATACGCAATGTGTTTTCTAAATTATACTAGAAGTCGACCTATTGCGTACAAAATGCGAAGACGATGATGAAGGGGGGCAGGGGAATGCGGAAAACAAGAATGAAGAGGAGAAGCAGAGCAGGAGGAGAAGGAAGATGATCAGATGAACAGGAAGAGGAAGGAGGAGAATGAGAATGCGTTCGAATTTCCTTTTGTTTTTCAAAAATAATTAATATTTAAAAACATTGCATTTACATATTTTCCTATTGATTCTTGTTCATTCTTAATTTGAGTGAGATTGTCCTCAATTTAAATGGATTTGTTTCATTCTCTGTCTGATCTCAATTTGAAGTTGGATATATATCGAATTAACGCATCAATTTGTGTTTGTTCTTTACTCCTAAATCATATCTATGACTCGATAAACCTGAAAGTATATTATTCGTGAATTAAAAAAATACTCTATAACCCTCAAATTAGACACTGAGTCGTAAATCTAAAATAAAAGGTTTTGAAGTGAATATGAGAATTTCACGATAGCACAGGCAAAATTATGTGCGCCGTAACTCGAAAAGATTTAAGATAACGAGGAAATGGTAGCTCAGTATAAGATAAAAAGTTCCGTCCACATTTTATAAGTTTGGAAACAATTCGGAGTTTTGTCCGCAATCTAAAATTAAAATATATAGCTTGGTTTGATGACACTTGGTTGATAACAAAAACAATTGGGATGGGAAGAAATAAAGGCTAGCTGTGAACGAAAAACAATTATGTATTGTCAGGAAATTTGTAACGTCAGTATAATATCTTCCAAACAAGTTCAATACCCATTGAAGAATTTTGCTTATAAATCGTACTAAATATGGCATCATATAATCCCAAGTTAGTCGAAGGGCATTTCTCTACCTGGAGAAACGCAAAATACCTCAGTGGTTGATACATTGGGGAAAAATGGGGCCGGAAGGAAAGTCCTTATGATATGACGGAGGATGCAAACAAAAGAGTGATTCGCTCCATACAAATGTGCTGTATCAGCAGACGTAGACGATTGCAACGCTGGCGCGAGGGGCCCGCGCTGCGCAGCAGTAGGTGTGCGACATTCGGATAGAACATGTGCCACGTGCGGGCTCCTCCATTGGGCGAGGAAGGAGCCCCTTCGCGAAGGACTCGAAGTTCGTAAGTTGACGAAAACGCAGAACGTTGGGAATAAAACGAGTTCTTTTTGAGCTCTGTTCCGGGAACGGCGCGGGCAAAGCAAAGCCACGATTATCTGAACGTGCGCAAAACAACAGCTCCACAACCGGAACTGGTTGCAGTTGTAAAACGCGTGACGCGTTTATGGGGCGGTATTAGACGTTCAGATAAGATGTCCGCCCGAAGACTCTCAGACGCGGAGAGCTGCACGTCTTTCGGCGACCCTCGCCAGGGTTGCTTCGCTCGCTACATCAACATGGCGACAGCGCGCAAATGTCTGCACACCTCCGGCGTACTGCTGCTGCTCCTACTGGTAGGTTTCGGGACTACGGTTTGCGTTGGGCGGTTGTTGAAAATAATGTCAATTACTTTTCGAAGAAATTATAATAAAGTATAAATGATAAATTAAAAAAATCCTTTTAAAGTAAATTCTTAAAAAAATAATTAAATTCGAAGTAACAAAAGGTTACTGAACTGCAAGTTAGAGGGAAACGAGGCAGAGTCTGAAGTTTGTGAAGAATAGAGAGCAATGTTGATCATCAAATAAAGATGACTGATCCGTTATTTTGTTAAAAGATCACGTTTTGTGGAATGAAGTTCTGCGATTTCATACATTTGGTACAAACTATCGCTTTCACATGAGTCGTTCTCGTTGCTCCAATTGTTAGGACATGGGAGCAACAGTTCGTTTTAAATAAACCAGGAAAATTTCCAATTACTTTAACTTGAAGTCAAAGTTGACAGGAGCATAACAAAAACTTATTTAAACCAATTAATATATGATGTTAATAATTGTTTCAAAGTTCGTATGACGTTATATCGTTATTATCATCATTTTCAATACTATGTCTATAGACGTGAGGGTCTAGGGTTCGAATCTTGGCATTGGCGAACTTTCCATACTAGCTATCAACGATAGTTAAGTCAAATTCAATCGTTGATTGAGGAGAATTACGTCAGCCAGTTCTTCTGATCGTTAATTTTGCGTGGATTCTCCGATCAATATCAGACAAATGTCGAAGCAGTACGCTAACAGGCCACTAACGGCTCATGATCTTCCCTTCCTCATTCTCATCTTCTCCTATTCTCTTACACACACACATTACCTCACGTCACGTGCGGAGACCATTTGAGAGGTTAGAACTTAGGATAATGCCCATCATAGAGAGGATAAAACCAGCAAGCCGTCATGTAAGTCGGCGCCGGACCTTACATCTCCAGTGTGGGAGGAACAATTTCACCTTCCGGCTCTAACATGTTCTACACTTACGAGACAAATGACTAATGTACTTGACGTGCTGATGTATTTGAATCTTAAAGTTCTCACATATTATTATTTATACTATTATTATTATTATTATTATTATTATTATTATTATTATTATTATTATTTTTTCGACGGTATTTTATTCCTTGTGCGAGACAATCACTTAAGCCGAACTGTGGACGCTCACTGGTCAAGGCACTGACCTCAGGAAGCTGCTTTCGCAACTGTTTTCTCTCGCACACCATAGCGACTGATGTAGTGTTGGAAGATTATTTCGAACCATTGAAAGTTTATTTCGTGAAGAGGAAAAGGGACGGCTTTCAAATTATTCTTTATTGTACAAATCTGTTTTGAGTCATTTACATTTTTGTAACTTTTCGATATTTACAAAGTTTTAAAAGCATGTTTAACATTTTATTCTATCATATTTTAAAATATATTACATGACCGAAAAGTGCAATGAAACTAGTAAGAATTGAGGAACAGGCAATTGCCCCCTTGCAAAGTTTTGATTATAACCTGAACAAATACCAATTTGCCATGAGGAGGTACTTTTTAATTTGCATTTACATTGATGAGCACGGTTAAATTGAGTAAAATATATTTGTAATATTATAATGAGCTAGTGATTTCAAGATAACACTTGTATTTGTTAAATTTTATGTTTATTTAACATAAAACAGTAGAAGAACAGTAAAAGCTCGTGTATGATTTTTTGGGAAAAATATCGGCAACAAATGGAGTTACCACGAAAAACAATATTCAAAACTTTTGTTAAGGAAGATCGAAAAATTTTATTCATAGTGTCTGTTTTCCTTAACAAAATTACCGAGTGGTAATCAAGAGATTCTACCAACGCCATAATTGTTGCCAAAATAGTATGCTATCTAAGGGCAAACAAATATAAGAGTTCTCAAGAAAAATCAGAGCTTTTCAAGACCTCACTATCTTAGTCTGTAATTTACCTTCTTATTCTCATCCATTCTACGTATTACTAACTTTGTTACATCGTCATGAACAGGAGTAATCGAGAAAATAGTCTCATTCGAGAGTTTGTTGAAAGTACATCACAGAACTTTTAAACATTTTTCTCTAATGATTCCAACTCTAATGATTCTTTAAACTTCGATTGGAAAAATACTCTACAGTGCTTATATTTTAATATTTGCATCTCGAATACAATTCGAGAATTAAAATTAATTGCGCGTTTATATGCACTATTATCGCATAAATGCAACGCATATTATTATGACTAATTGAAAAAATTATCAGAATATTCATCGTTCAAATTTTTTGTAATATATTTTGTATAATGGCAGTTAATACTAAAATATAGATTATTGTCTAGTGTATATGCGCAAATGTGTTGCTGGTTAATAGTTTATGAAACAAACGAATTTAAATAACTGGATAAAAAGTGTATAATTGATATACTAATTAGGGCCTGTCAGGATTAATATGATAGAGCAAAAATTGGGTCTAATGTGATACACTTAAAGAATTGTTACCGATCCAAAATTAACAAAAAATAGCACACAATAGGAAATATATTATGTTATTAATGACCATATAATGACGAACGTTACTGGCTTCGGGCAAAAAATCAAAGCCGAAATGACATATTTTTTCAGTAAAAAACTTTTTCGCCAATATAGGAAACTTTTGATGTCACTTCATCAATTTTGATGGAAGGTATTTGTGAAAATAAGTAATCATTCAGAAAGAAAGAATCTATTTTCCGCTTCAAAATATTCCAAAAATATTAATCGGGCCATGATATATACAACTTCAATTTTTTTGGCTTATATGATCCGAGTGTCGGGGTAAAAATCAACACGCAGTCAATAAAAAAGTAATATTTTTTAATTTTTTGTTGTTTTAACAATACAAACCTAAGCACAGGAATCCGCAAAGCTACTGCTCAGAATAGTAATATTTACTTTTAAGTACAATAGGTGTTTTTTAAGTAATAAAACACATAAAAAGTCTTGAAAAAATATGGACTTATTAAAACTCTCTCATAATGCAGAAAATAATATCAAAACTGTATGGTAACAGGAAGATAGAAGGCTCACGTGTTGTATACTGTCAAACCGATATGAAGAGATCATTTCCAGACCCTTGCAACATTCAATATTTGTTTATATACATTAACCTTCTTATTATTACACTTCGAAAACATTTTGTCATAATTGGCTATATTATAACCAAATGTAAAAATGCTTTTAAAACTCTATTTTAAAGTCTCCTTTTTGAACTTAGACTGATAGGAAAGAATGACTTACGTATAAACTCATACACAGGAAAACAAAAAAGAAGAAGTAAAAAGAGAAAAGAAGACACAAGATCCTAAGGTGTGTCACAATTGTCCGCTCGTTGTATTCCAATCAAAATTCATAGAGATATCACGCTGTATCACTTAAGCCCCATTAATGTATCCGTATCAACATCATCAGTTGGGGCTAATTTGATGCACACTTGAGATTCTTTTATAGAGTTGTGGTATATCTTACGTTATTTTTTACTTCGTACACGTCTTTAACACCAAGAGGCACATACTCAGTATTTTTTCATGTCTTTGGTAGAATCGATATAGAAGATAAGGTGAAAAGTTTGCGTTCTGTATCACAATAGCCCCGATTGACCCCATTTTATATATTTTTGATGATATGTTTTAGCTCAAAACTGACGAATCACTCACAAAAGAGCACTTTCAGAAGGTTCATACTTTCAAAAACTCAGTACAGTAATATTGATAATTACTCCCACTAACGGCTTGTCAGATGTTACATAAAAAAGATTCCGCAACAAATTAGATGGTGAAAATAATGACAATTTGCAATGTATTTTACTCTCCTTATACTTTCATTAGTTTGTTTTTATTCAAATCTATCTTATACTTTTTCGTTTATTATGTCGACGATTTCAAGTCAAATTTAATAAATTGTTCTAAAAATACTGGGTATTAACTAAAAATACTGGATATTAACAACACTTAGTTATTGAAAAATGACGGCAGATTGGTAGAACGTAATGCATAGAAGATATGATACAATCAAATTACGGAATGGGATTATGAGTCAAGAAATATTTAAAAAGGATTAGAAGAAAACAATTGTTCTGAAATTATAATGAAACAATATTGCTTGTTAAAAATAGTGACGTAACTAAAAGCTTGTTCTGCAAAGAATTACATATGGATATTCACGTGCCACTTATGTTTTCAATTCCCCCATACATCCTTTCTATCAGCCTCACAAAATTATTATTTTCCCTCCTTAGCATTCGATTTCAATGTCAACATTTTCACTTAATTTTTGACACTTGCATACTTTTGATATTTGTCTCTGCTGCCGACAACAAACAAAATGCACTAGATATAAGATTAAATTAAAAATCACACAAATCAACAGATTTTCTCAGCTGACATTCTATTTTCATCCAATACCTAAAACGGACATTATTAATCATTTAATTCTCAATTAATTTATCAAAACTGAGCGCACTATTGCATCTGAATGCAATAATAGTAAGCGTGGAGATCATTGTCTTAGATGAACATGCAGTTTTTGTCAACTTCGCATGATAGAATTTATTTTCCACTTGAATTTGGGATGATTAATATTTCAATCTTTCTGTTCATTTCTTACGATTTGTTTACGAAAGTAAAGTTTTATATTACGAACTAACCGAGTTTAAATGTGTTAATTAAAAGGGTTTGTTTCACAGTTTTTTTTCAAACAAGTTCATATGTTTGAGGTCAGTTCTCAAAATTTAGAATATATCAAACTCACGCAGTGCGAAGTCGGCTTTTTTCAGTAATATCAATAAAATTACATGGACGATGCACAGTACTCTAAGTGAAGTTGCATTGGCGATAAATTTGGATCATCGTTTCAGGTTTTATATAGTTTAATTATAAAGGCAGCCGACTTCCTGCAGTCAAGCAATCATCAGCATTCTTCCAACAATAGACTAGAAGCTATGACGACCAATTCGTTGGAGAACGAATAAAAATATAATTAAAACGCTTAAAGGAAAGTATT